GTTTGACAGCTCTCACACACGGCCTCAGCAGCAGCAGTCGCCCAGGAAAGCAGAGCACCAGCCCTCCCTGCTTCCCCCACGGCCCCCCAGCCCGGCTGTGAAGCAGAAGCCCCCCGAGATCCCCCCACCTCCTCCCCTGCCCAGCCAGCCACCCTGGTCCAGCTAGGACTGAAACTGGGCCAGCCATGGCAGGACTTGGGCTACCAACAGCTTGGGGCATCTGCTCTTCTCTACAAATTACACGTGTTACCTATGGATAACATCCAGAGGCAGTTTTCATACTGTTGTGCCTTCAACAGGAAGGGATGAAGATTCTTCCCATGCCCTGCCTCATCCTTTGCTGTTTTGATTTTCATACACCAGGGTGCTGGCTGAATCTCTTCAAAGAACATTTTTAACATTGCATGTTTTACGCCACCAATTGAGGGAAAAAAATAAAAAAATTCTTCACTTCAGACTTCATTTTTGGTGTGGTTGGCCACCCACATTTTGAGCAATTAATTTTCCATGGTACCTCTGCCCATTTCCTTACTATCAATAAAAAGTACATCTGGACATGAAAATCACCACTATTACTGAGATTCACCTCAAAGACCAGAGCAGAATCTAGCATAAAATATTCTCCCTGTGTACTGCACGACAAGAAATATTCAGAGGAAAATACAGTGGTGGCAGCTAAGACTTGTGGAACCCTCAGAATATTGAGCCTGCAGTGGAGGCAAACAGCCCTGGCAGTGCCTGAGGGGACTTCTTCTCACAGCCTCCTCTGAAAGTGTGTCACTTCAGCACGGGAAGGCTTTCAAACCTTTGTTTTTCCTTTTTCCTGTGCTAAAATTTAAGGCTCCTGAGAAAATACTGAGCTACAAACAATTCTCCATTCCTCAACAAAGCTTCTCAGGTGCTCGACATAAGAAAGAGAAAAACCAAAGGTGGTCAGAAATTTCCCATCAAGGCCTATTTGCAGAGAAACCCCACCATATGGGAGCAAATATTTATTAGCATCAGTTCACTCAAAAGAAACCCAACCCTCTATTAAGCAGCGTTTTAAACGAAGTTGAATTCTTTTTCCTCACATATCAGCTGGACTAGTTTGCTCCTTTTTTGTCCTAGAGAGAATATTAGAACGATTTCCTCTTGACAGGACTCCTTGGGTGGCCCCCAGCCCTGGTTCCTCACCACACCTTGCCTGGGCTGTTAACGCAGCCTGTCAGCACCACCTGATTTTGGCAGCCTGTTCAGACCTCGGGCACGGCTGGTGCCACGGTCCCCTCTGGTGTCACGGTCCCCTCTGGCTCCTGGCGTGTCCCTGCTGCTGGAGGAGCCCTGCTCGTGCTGCTGCCTGCGTTCAACAACCCCGGTCCTACTTCCCAGGCAAAGAGAGACCAAAATCACTGCTTTGGGCAGCTCGTTTGAACGAGTTGAACACTTACTCATCTCTAACACAGACCTCTTAACACCCACACACCAACACCAGGAAGTCACCTCATCTACAGAGATGAGGAAGCCTGAGAGAACAGAAGGTCGACATTCAAGCACATTGGGTTTTCAGTTTAGTGGAAGCACTCCCTCGTTCACAAGCCTTACTTATCAAACTGGATTGTGCGATGCTATTGTCTTGCTTGTGTTAGAGAGAAACCAAGGAGAAATTAGCTAAGAAATAAGAACCACACTTGGGGCTCGGGCTTGGCAGACAAAGGGAGCAGGGCGGCACCTGCCCGCTTTGCCCGAGTCCCTGCTCCTGCCGGACAAAGGCGGACG